TAAGAAAATAAAAAATACGTGTCTAATGATTTAAAATAATCTACCAGACGGGCATTAAAATAAAAATTAGGCATCTACCATATTCGATATTATTTTAAGGGCTGATATACATATTTTTTAATCTTGATAGATCGACATTTAACCACCATGTCGTATGGTGGTAAGCGATGATGTGGCCGACAATGGAGCACGCCTATGCATTTTAATTTCAGCCCTGATACTTTATCGATTTTATAATAAATCATGTTTCAAACAAAAAAATGTGTATCTAGACTAGAACAAAATCGGTTAATCTGTTTCAGTGCAACACAAACTCAACGTTATGTTAACCATGATAACGCCAAGCAACCCTCTGTTCGCATCAGTGGTTAATAAAGGACCGCGCGCTCTTGAAAATTTTTCGACAAAAAGTTTTGTTGGTACATCCTCAACTCCTATAATTTTCCTATAATATATATATATATGAAACTAATAAGAAATTCATACAAAACAAATTAAGATAATATTAAAGTCAGGAGTAAATATTCGCTAGTGAATAAGTCATGAGGCATCTCAATAAGGTTACTGTTAGGAAACAACTCGTGCGCATCGATTATGTTAAAACATTGTTTCTTTAAGCATCTTTGACTTCGGTAGTATTTTATAAGGGAGAGAAATTGTAATAATATTTAGTTACGTGACTGATACGAGTCGATTGTCGAGTTGTTATAAGTTTGAGTGTTGTTTATAAGTGAACCATTACTAGTTTTTGCCCGCGGCTTAGTCCGCGTATTTCTATTTAAACTGTCAAACACCAAGCGGTCACCGGTGACCTCAGCAACCTATTGTTCTATAATTGTGTCTATAATGACGGTACTCGACGAGTTAATCCCATTGTCGTATTTAACCGATTAAATGTCGGTATAGGAGACACAATAGAAAATTCATTGTGTCTCGCGTTGATCTACGTTCCAGTACCTATACTACGGGTTAATCAGGATAAAAATCTTATCCTATCACCTAAGTCAGCTCATACCCTGCCTGTATATCAAATTTTATCAAAATTCGTTCAGTAGTTTCAGCGTTATTGGCGAACAAACATACAAATAAAGAAACTACATAACGTAACATAACATCACGCCTGTTATCCCTGAAGGGGTAAGCAGAGGTGCACATTACGGCACTTGATGCCATTGTACAATGTAAAACCCACTTTTTACTATTTATGTTTTTTTATGGCATAAGCCGGTACACGAGCAGACGGATCACCTGATAGTAAGCAATGGGCGTCGCCCATGGACACCTAGAACACCAAAAGCGTTACAAGTGCGTTACCGGCCTTTTGGGGATTAGGAGTTTGAGGATCGTTGGGGATTCAGGGATTGGGGATGTTATGAGTCCCATGTAATAGAATTAAGAAAATCTCACATTAAATTTGAAACATTGGTGTGATACCGCTAATCTTCGCGGGCACAGTAAAAGTAGGATTTAATAAAAATCAATTCAAGTTCTTCGAATAAGAAGGTTTGACTAAGAATTTTTATCATCCAACTAGAATTTTCCTATCTCAGTAAATCTTTGTATTTTTTAAAATATAACAAGCGTGGTATTTAAGCAACATTATCAAGAATTCGGATGTAATGTTTGTTTAATATACAGATCAAAAAATTTGATCTAAAACCGGTCGGAACTGTTAGACGTTTTTTTAAACATTGATCAAGGTCATTTACAGATAAACATGATCATGCGTGTCTTCCATTGGGGTAGGCATAACCAATGGAACGCCACACGGATTCTTTACACTACATACACATAATATAATATCACGCCTTTTATCCCAGAAGGGGTAGGCAGAGGTGCGCATTATGGCACTTAATGCCACTGTACAATGTAACACCCACTTTTCACTATTTATGTTAAGAGTCTCATGTAATAGGGGTGAACCTATTGCCATATACCGGGCACATTTCCAGACTCCGTGGTACAACTGAAAAATCCTGTAATTCTTTGCCCGACCCGGTAATCGAACCCGAGACGACGAGAAGAGATAAGTGCCGTAATGTCTACCCCTTCGGAGATAAAAGGCGTGATGTTATGTCAAAGGATTTATTTCAATAAATCCTTAATTAGAAACTTTAGTAACGTCAAAAATTGAATTGTCCGTCTGTCTGTCAGTGAAACTAGGCGCTAGTTTCGAATGGAGAAGAACGAGCAAGAACTCCATTAATTTATTGGGATATTATTTTATGTCTCAAAAAATGATCCAATTTTTTGTCTTAGGTAGATCAAATCTGAGAGAAATACTGCCTGGCAATACGCTCATCCTTCTTTAAATGATACTCTAGATAACTGGTGAATTCTAATCTTTAACACGTTAAACGCCATGGCAGTCACTGGTGACCGACATTAGCGGAGGATTTGCCTTCAACAGTTTTTTATTGGCAGCCAATGCCTTAATAATATACGATTATACGTTTCTCATCTTCATACTGCCGACAATACAAAAACAGAAAACCCCTTCACATAAACAAAGAGCTAGTCTTCAATTTAACCCAAAATACAATGAAAATAATCACACAGGCAAAATCAATTCTATTTTACAGTAAAATATATAATACTATTTTACAGTAAAATATAATTATATTGGCATTTACAGTTAAATGCCAAGTTCAGTAATGTTTTGATAACGAACGAAGTGTAAATTTCAATAAAGCAATAGACGAGAGTTATCTTACCATTTCTGATATTATTATTATATTAATCAATCTTGTATTAATTGTACTTCGAAGCTATCTCGAAAGGGTTTAATATCATCAGTTTTGGTTAGATACATCTAGCACTGCCTTGTTGGCCGAGTGGTCGTAAGTGCGACTGCTGGGTAATGGATCTCGGGTTCGATTTCCGATTGTCGAGCAAAGTACTGCTGGGCAAGGGGTTTTGGGTTCGATTTCCGATTGTCGAGCAAAGTATTATTGGGTTTTTAAATATTATCAGTAGTATCACGGAGTCTGGCATTGTGTTCGATATATGGCAATAGGCTCACCCCCTATTACATGGGACTCATAACATAAATAGTGATAAGTGGGTGTTACATTGTATAGTGGTATAATGTGCACCTGTGCCTAGACATGTTTACCCCTTCGGGGATAAAAGGCGTGATGTTATAATGTTATGTATGTACATCTAGCACTCCAACTTCTTTCGCTTCTCGAGACATGTTCAATTAATGTTTTTCTTACGTAACTGTTTAACACGATTCGTTTCAAGCCACGCAGGGAGCTCATAGTCAATGACGCGACAAATATCGTGAAGTTTATATATTTGGTTATCGTGTAGAGTTGCTGTAAAAAGGCATACCCATTTTTTCTCTATTTTTTGGTCGTGTAGTAGGATTTTCTCGCGTGTAAATACACAAACAAACATAAAAACGCTACACATACACACCTAGTAGACACTCAGCCCAATCTGAGGTCTTAGTACGAGTTTCGTTTTCGTTGAAAGTAATCGTTACGAGTACTGGTTCTGCGCTGTGATTGGCCGGCTCTAATGAACCAACCAATCAGAACACAGAACGCCGTCTCGTTTCAATTACTTTAAACGAAAAAGAAACTCGTACTAAGGCCTCTGCTTAAGACTCAGTGTCGACCGAAAACTAATTGGGAAAAGGTTCCGGCTCGGATAAAGACGAGAAAAACAGGTATGGGTGAGATCGCCTGTTCGCGTCCACTCACCCGTTCGTGTCCATTTTAGAAAACACACTTTCAAAATTCCCTAAAATAAAAAAAGCAACCACAACAACACTAATATAATATACTAGCAGCCCGTCCCGGCTTCGCACGTGTAGACAATTATTTATTTTTGGAAATTTGTATTGTTGTAGTGACATAACTACAATAGTTGGACATATGCTACCGCGGAGTATTTTGTAGACATTATGATGTTCTACAATATTGTTGTGCATTATTTTGTTCTATCGCTAATAGTTTCAGCAGCGCATTCGACGAAAGACATTTTAAGATTCATTTTTCTACACCTTCGGTTACATTGTTCAAATTTTACCAAGGATCCCTAATTTTTTTCAAAATGAATTGTAGCCTATGTCAAATTGGAAGAATTTAGCATTCTATTGGTGAAAGAATTTTTTAAATTGGGCCAATACTTTTTGATCCATACAAACATACAATTATAATATTAGTATAGATGACTACTACTCACACACATCTAGTATAACACACACCTAGTTAGTTCTTATACATTTTCAGTACCTTACACTGATAGCGATCAGTAAAATGAACACGAACTGAAGGTTGGACGCGAACAGGCCAACTTTTTTGGGTGTACGGGAACAAGCAATTTGCCCTATAAAACAAATTAATGAACGTTGCCTGTAGACGTCCGAATTTGGAGAAAACCGTTAAATGTTATCAAAATATCCTCAAACAGATGGTACAATAATACAATCCATTTAAGTTCCTAATTACTATTTAGTTTTTGATATTTGTTTTGTACTCGACCTTTGAAATGGTGGTTATTTATTCAAGTATATTAAATTGTTATTTCTGTGTAGGTATATAAACCGGGTTGTATATTATACAGGTTGGGGTATTGTATACTTTTATATATTTATTCTTTATGTACATACGTACAACACAATGGACAACGCATATATAAAATGACGAGATTTTGATCTATTTACAACATAATGATCGCGGAGTGATAGTAATTTGATTATAGTTGTTAATGAATTTTTGTATGTAATCATAGGTAGGCTTTTATCTTTAGATAGCTCTGTTTTTCTTTTCCAGTTAGTACGCCTAGTCTAGTTATATTATTATAATAAATTATAATTATTATATTGATAAATATTGAATTTCACTACCAGTGAAGTAAATGCAATGTAAAGGTTCCAAGTGAAGTGCTGACGATCGATGTTAGCTTAATAACATGGCATTGGAACATGTAGAGATCTCTAGGAAAAAGGTCGATAATGACGAATGATGAAGAGGAAATATTGAACTTACATATTCAGGTTTGGACCCATACGGATTATCGAAATCCTCAGGATAATCACCAGGTAGCACAATAGACGGCATACCATGAGAAGGTGAGTTCACAGGATGGTGAAAATCACTGTAATCGGCTGGCACTCCATCAGGAGAAGGAGGTCCTTCCGGATATATATCCGAAGGGTCCACTATACCCGGTAATAAAGAAGGCATTTCCGTCTGCCACAGAGCCCGGATGTTTACACAACACAAAATCACAAACACAAAAACACTTCTTGCACTCATTTTATCACTAAAACACCACTTATAACACTACAATATAAGTTTAAACTCCCACTTAAACACTATTTATAAAGTTTATTACTAAAATGATAGTTCGTCATGTGTAAACATATAACAACGTTAACCGTAACGTGTCCGCGTGTACCACAAATGGGCGAATTGTTTCATGATTAAGATAGTTATTGATATCAAATTCGGTCCAATCTACTGATAATGCCAAAAACTGAAGTATGGCTGACGCGCAAACTGATAAAATTTGGATAAGATATTATTTATATACGATCGTTTCAGCGTACAATAGGAATTTGTGGCGATGTGAATCATTTTATTTGTTTCTTTTTGAAGGGCGGGAATTTTTTAAGATATTCGCTTTTGTAACTTATACTTATGTTACGAGTGTATACAAACCTAGGTTCTTATCTTGAATGATATTGTGAATAAATCTAGGGGAACAATAAGACGTTTAATAACGAAAGTAATACAATATTTGATGCGAATTTTGTTAAACAAATCTGTAACAAATTGTATAATCTACATTGTCTTGTCTAATGTCAGAATCTATATAATGCTAATTATATATCTCTGATAAGATGATGTTTTGAAGTGTTTTCGTTTTAAAATATTTACCGTAAAGTTCGCTACGAAACTGGACATTCATAATTTTATTATGGACGAAATAAGCGAAACATTCGGAGAGGAACCACGCAAAAGATACTGATATTTCGTTTACAAGCAATTGATTACAATTTAAGGATTATTTAATATGTTTAGTAACGCGAATGATAACAAAATTAATCATTGAAGATAATTAATTACAATGTTACACCACATTTAGTCAAAACTTTGCCTATCTTTTCGTAACAAATAATGTATTTTTTATTTATTTATTTATTCTTTAATGTATTTAATTTGTTTATGGCACATAAGGCGAACTTAATGCCATATGGCATTCTTCACCAGTCAACCTTAGGGTTTAAGTAGAAAATCTGCGAAAACTGAGGTACGGAGAATAAACTAACAACAAAGAAAGAGAGAGAGAGGAAAAAATAATGGTAATTATTAAATATATTTAATATATATAACTGCTATTATTTAATATATATAACATAACATCACGCCTTTAATATTATTCATAACATAACATCACGCCTTTTATCCCTGAAGGGGTAGGCAGAGGTGCACATTATGCCACTGTACAATGTAACACCCACTTTTATTTATGTTACGAGTCCCATTTAATAGGGGGTGAGCCTATTGCCATATAGTGGGCACAGACTCATGCTACTACTGAGAGTTTTTTAAAAACCTAGTAATACTTTGCCCTACCCATACCCTCGAGATCATCTCGGACACACATACAGACAAACAGACAAAAAATTTAAAACCCATATTTTCGGCTTCAGTATCGATTGCAGATCATGACCCAAGTATTTTTTTTTAATTATCAATGTACAGTTTTGACTTTTCTACGATTTTATTATATGTATATATAGATATAGATTATGAAAACCTAGTATTCCTAAGTCTAGCTGTAGTCTGTAATGATAACCTACTTCCATTAATTTTTGGCGGTACCGTTGAATAACTCCCATTTGGTGAAATAGACCACCGTATTAATTAAGTATAACAATAATAATATCGAAAATATAATAAAATAGTCATTGCCACTTCATTATTTATCAAATGATCATAATGAAAGACATATTATCGATAGTTATGGTAAACAAATCCTCTACAATAGATAGTGTTGTGTCAAGGTTGTTATCGATATACTATTTTCGGATATTTATGCATTAAATTATCCTGTTACGCTGCAGATAGCACTTCGAATACCAAGAAGTCTTATTCCTATAAAAATGAGATTTTCCTCTCTCAGAATAAAAATAAAATATTACCTTTTTTATATTACCTACATGCTAGCAGCACGCCACTTTTTCGCAAGGGTGCAAATGAGTACAACCACGTATGAATTTGCTGCCTGGAGCTTTATAGACTAATTTGCTAGTGTTAAACCACTAGACTGACAATAGGCTCACCCCCTATTACATGGGACTCATAACATAAATAGTGAAAAGTGGGTGTTACATTGTACAGTGGCATAATGTACACCTCTGCCTACCCCTTCGAGGATAAAAGGCGTGATGTTATGTTAAGTATATGTACTGACAACTTTTGACAGCTACAGCGATTGGACAAACAGGACTTTAGAACTGTACATTAGCAACATCTCATCAGCATCATTAATAGCACGCGAGTGAGGGAGACTATGGGCCTCCTGTAAAGGGATTTCCAATAATTTGCCCACGCTTATCAAGCAGGCTTCAGATTATAGGTCAACAAGTTCAGGTTAATAAAAGAGCACTGTTGCCCAGTCTCTGCTCAATACGTTGTTACATAGTCACTATTTTTTTTTAAACAAAACGTTGCCCCATTTTCTCCCGTGTCATGTGTAAATAAATAAAAACAATTTGTGGATCACATAGAGTTGTTCTGTGGAGGAACTAAACTTGCGATACCTTGTGTGACAGCCATTTAACTAGCCATCGCGCCAACCGTACAGTCGACTATTAATTAGCTCTAATGACATGCGTCGGAAGAGCCGGGATGAGGTCCGGTGGGGAAATATATTCTTTAAGTGTGGGAGAGTCATGCTTCGGCACGAATGGGCCGGCTCGACCGGAGTGATACCACGACCTCACTCACACAACGAAATAACATTTGCGTTGTGTTTCGTCGTGTGAGTGAGGTTACCAGTTTTGTGAGGTCCCCAATCGCTCCAATCCCCGGAACAACAACAATCCTCGAATTACTAATCCCCGAAAGGCGTGTAAACACTTGTAACACCTCTGGTGATTCGGGGTCCATGGGCGCCGATTGCTTACCATCGGGTGATCCGTCTGATCGTTTACCGGCTTATTCCATAAAAAATTCTTTGCCATACAAGCGCCAATTCCAAGTTCCCGGTTCAATTTTCACAGTCGATTAAAATTTGATTTAAACCTCACTTACCCCTTACCTGAATGTCGTTTGTTTTTTTCTAATTTGGTTCGCCCTGGCATCGAATTCGATAAATGCTATTTCCCCGGAGACATAGGCAGTGGTGCATTATAATTGGATTTTTACATGCGATTCTCGTAGCTAATAACAAATCTCTTTATCTTATCTTATAAGTACCTACTATTATTTTTAACAAGTTCCATGTAAATATTTTCTTGGGCAATTTTGTACTTTCATCATCCGATTTTTTGTTGCAATGACTAATTCAGGGTAGGCAAAATAAGTACACAAGACCTTTTGGGCTCGCTGCCATTGCAGCGGTAAGTCCCCTCTTTGAGGAGTGGCTTGAGAGACGCTACGGCGTCCTCACCTACCGCCTGACGCAGGTCCTCACCGGACATGGAAGTTTCGGGAGGTACCTGTGTCTGATGGGGCGGGAGGAAACGCCCGGGTGTCATCACTGCGAGGACCGCCCTGAGGACACGGTGGAACACACAGTGGGAGAATGCCCTGCGTGGGCTGAGCACCGCCGTGCCCTCAGGGAAGTGATCGGCGATGGCGACCTCTAGCGTCCGGGCCTAGTGCAGGCCATGATGCGGAGCGAGGGGGATTGGGATGCCGTCTCCTCCTTTTGCGAAGCAGTCATGCTAGCTAAGAAGGAGGCGGGACGCGTGAGGCAGCGAAGCGCTGCCTCCTCGCAACCCAGCCATCGCGAAGGACACACCGGGCGTCGGGGATCGCGAGACGATCTCCGGCCACCGTAAGCGCGGGCCTGCGGACGGCGAGCATGGGTGGCTCCCCGTCCGACCAGAAACAGACCCGAGCGTACGGCGCGTCGCGTTCCGCGCGCGCCTCAAAGAGCCATCAGACCACCACAGATGGGACCCAATAGGGCCGATGCCGATTCGGAGTCGCGGAGAACCTAACGGGTAACCGGGGCTCCGGCTCGACGTGCAGGAGAAGGAACGGGGTGGTTTTTAGTCAGTAAGAGTCTGACACTCATTCGATGATTTTCCCCCCTTAAAAAAAAAAAAAGACCTTTAGTAAATGTATAAATACCATATATTTTTATAAAATGTGTCTGCGTTATACCGATAGGTAATAGTACATAGGTATTTTAATAATAACTATCACTAGACATCCTGAATTAACTAGGCTTATTAACTGGTCGAGTACCGTCAATACAGACACAATTATAGAACAATAGGTTGCGGTCACCGGTGACCGCTTGGTGTTTGACAGTTTAAGGAATTAACTAAGTAGGCTGCCGCGCACGCTGCTCATGAGGAAGTGTCCCTCTGTGACTCGAAACTAGTAGAGCTTCTTTGAGTACCTCGTAGTACGGAAGTAACTCGTAATTTTTAGTTAATTCAGTAATAGTACAGAAACCCATGACCATGATTCGCCATTCATCCGCGGTGAACTTACAAAGAAATAAAAAAGACCTACGTAAAAATAGATGCACTGAACAATATTTGTTATGTTAAACGAAATATAAACGTAAGTTTAGATTACGAAAGCAAAGTGCTATATATCTCTTAGACTAGTAATTCACTTCGATCTTGGATAATGTAAAGATCATGAAAGAAATAAAACTGAACTTTAAGAAGGTGATTTTAGTGTTGAGTTTTGAATTTATCTCTTGTGATCGATTTACGATTATATAGGTAGGGAAGTATAGGTACCCATGTATAAAAATCTATGCAGTGTTAGTATTTTCACTTTTCTTCATCTATTTTCTTTTAGTTTAGATGCGAAATAGTTAATATTATTACTCAATCCCCGTATCAGAAGACAGCTTAATCTTTCATTAAAAATGTAGTGCTTGAGACACCGAGCTACCCCAATCAATCTTTCTTGAATAGATTTTTTACCTTTAGTCCAAAACCTTTAAAGTCGAATTTATATTACACTAGCTACTTCAGCGCGGTTTCACACGCTCTGCTCAGCCCCTATTGGTCGTAGCGTAATGTTTTATAGCCTATAACCATCCTCGATAAATGCGCTATCCAAAACAAAAATAATTATTCAAATCAGACTTGTAGTTACGGAGATTAGCGCGTTCAAACAAACGCACAAAAAAACAAACTCTTCCGCTTTATATAATAGTATAAGATAAGATTATTAATACAAAATATGTTGT